TCTACTGGCCCTCGACCATAATTAATTCAGGTTATGTTCAACCTTGTTCGAACTACACCTACTGGACCTTGGCCATAATTAAAGTTAGGTTATGTTCGACCTCGCTCGAACTAACACCTACCAACCCTCGACTATAATTAAAGTTAGGTTATGTTCGACCTCCGTCGAACTAATACCTATCGGACCTCGACCATAATTAAAGTTATTTTCCTACGCTTCTCCTCCCTATGGGCGCTTTCAATTTCCAAAATCATAGTATGCAAAAAAAAGTAAGGTAGACACGAAAATGCCCCTGTCAACAAAGGCAAAAAAGAAAAGGACAAAAAACTATGCACTCACCCGAAGAGCGAGACCAACTATGCTCTAAGGTGACGTCATCCAGTTCTCTAAGGGTCTTACCCTCAATTTAGGAGTAGAGAGGGCTGAGGGCAAGGACTACGTCTTCCGTGTTTTTCAGCAAGTCGCGGTCCATAGGAACCACAATGATCCTTGTAGACCCCTCTAATCTCATCTCGAGTTGGGTAAAACCCCCATCCATCATTTTTAGGCCGACTGTATCGACGTCAGACCTCGAGTCATCAGCATCATGAGCAACATGTTTTCCCCTCTCGTCGGCCGACAAAGAAGCATCCGAGGTCGGCTGAGACATCAATGCCTCCTCCCGCCTCGAAGTCCCAGAGACATCATCAACGGATCTCTCCACTCCGGCAACCACCAAAGGCATACCCACTTCGTCAGCCTCTAACCTCTGGGACCTGGATTCCAGCTCGACGTCTTCCCTAATAACTATGATTGTCATCTCGTGCAAGGAGAAATCACCCGCCATTAAGTCAACGGCCCGAGTGACCCCGCTACCAACATTTACATACCTCCTATTGTGCGACATCAAGTCCCTCTGGCTCGAAATATACTCGTTGTCTTCGTCTATAAGATGACGTAGGGGGAGGACGAAGTCTCCGCGGTCTCCACGGCCGTAGAAGGAATGAAACTAGGCGTGGGAGCAGGATGGGTTGAGGTGCGAATAGATCCATCTACCATCGTAGGTAGGGCGAAAGCCGAAGGTTCAACCACTTTTCTTTTTCGAAATGAAAGGGTGGGAGCCCTTACCCTCCTCGAAGGACCTCTGGCCGATCCTAAGAAAAGCACAAGAAAAAGAGAAATTCAGCAAGGTAAACAAAAAAAAAAGAGCCAAGACTCCAACAAAATGAGTAATTTACCAATCGAGAGGGGAGCCGGCCCGGACCTCTTGAGGAAACCTGGCCACTCACTGCAATGTGAGGGAGGAACTGACCGACCCAACCACAGAAGTTCTCGACTAAAGAAGGAGGCGAGGTCTTGGATGAATAGGAGAAAAGCGAAAGGTCAAAGTCCACAACTAAGCAAAATAAATCAAGTACCTACATGCAAGGGAATGAGGCACTTACGGGTGTAGTTCCAAGCATCAGGGAAGCCGTCGATGTTGGCCACCACGTCTTCAGTTCTAACAAAAAAAGGTTGATCCAGAACTGGCGTTTAGCTTTGTCGTCCATCTTCACCACCAGGAATTTGCCTCCTCGGCGGCGAAGGTTCAGCATCAGCCCCCTGTAAAAGCTGGGGGCGAACAAGTGCATCAGGTGTTGAAGTGTGATTTTGACCCCGGCCAACTCCGCAAACTTCGTAAACATCCTTATGAGCTTATACACGTATGGCGCGAGCTGAGCTGGGCAAACACCATAGAATTTACAAAATTCCTCCGTTAGCGGGAGGAGGGGTAGAGTATAGCTAACGTGAAAGGGATATGCATAGAAGGCGCAATACCCAGGACGGTGGTATTGAACCGCGTCCCACCCGGCAGGGATCAACTCGACGTGATCGGGAAGGCCATATTTTTCCTTAAGCTATAGTAAATTCGCCTCTTTCATCGCCGACTTAGAAGTTTCAGATTTAACCTCGGGCAACTTCGAGAAATCAGACCTGATATCGGGGTTACGAGGAACTATCTCCTCCATAGTCGGGAAGCTCTCATCCTCAACGGCAACGGGAATGTTCTCCGCATGAGGAGGAAGAAGAATCGTTAAAGGGACCGGCTCAATTCCCTTGCTGGGTCCAGAAGGTATGTTTGACATATTCTTAACAAAAAAGAGGAAAGTATTAAACAACTGAGGATGAAAAATGATAAGGATCGTTGGAACAGATGGAAAGGATATACAACAATGGAACAGAAAGAGGAAGATGCGGGGTTTCAGTGCAAAGGATTTTGTAAAAAATGAAATTATATCCTCACACCCCTATTTATCGGAATCCAAGCATCATAATCGAGAAATTGGCTCATCATTACATGGCACTGTAACCGAAGCGGCAGATCCAATCAAAAGATGCATCCGAAACGAAGCGACGCATCGAAAAAATAAGTTATAATGACGCGTGACGTCATGACGTCACTTTGATTCATGGACAACATAACTCCAAAATTCGCGGCTCATAGAAGGCCAGGTCGCCAGCTCGCTCCTGTCATCACGACCCAGTCACCTCGACCAATCGTTTCGACTGCAATAAAAGGTATCCGCTCATTAAGCTCGCTTAAGGCCGGCCTCAATAAGTGGAAGGACTAACTGTATGGGTCAAAATCTGCCCTGAAATATTTAAGGTAGGATAACACTAAAGAAAGAGTCCTCGAGCCGTCGTCAGTCGAGGTCGACCAGGAAGCAGCGAGATTCGTGGTCGTGATGTCAACAATGGTCGAGGTTAAGTATTGTTGATAAGGCTATAATGACTAGTTTTTGAAATAGGATGTTATAGAGAATATTCTAGTGGATATTCTCTGCACTTGTACTATTAGGATTTACTAGGAAAATGCCTCATATAAATAGAAAAGAGATAATGATATGGGGCATGTGACATTCATTTGATAAGAACAGACTTTTGATAAAAGATTCTCTCTCCTTCTCTTACTAAGATACAAGCACCACATTTTGATCAAGATCCTCGTTTATATTATTACATACTTTTCCATCAGATCCGAGAATAATTCCAACACTCTAGGATTTGTCTGTCACTTATCATTGTCAGGGAGAACAACCATCTAGTTCATCCTTTATTAGGTGAATCACTTATCCTATTTACTTAAATTTCATTTATTGTTATTTATTACTATTAAATGCTCAATTATTGGTCATATTTTTTGGAATAGTTATCACACGCTGACATCAATCTAGCACAAGATTTATTTGATATTAGGCACGTTTTCGGAACCCACATCTAAAAATATTATTCTTAACTAAGATTAATCAACATTTAACTAAAATTAATTATTTGAAGTAAGGCTACGTTTTTGGGTCAAATAATATCTCCACACAATGGCCAACTATGAAATACGAACTCCTACTAACATTCGTTCTTGGCCAGTCTAAGGCTGATAGAAGCAACATTAAGCGTATTGTAGCAGGCGGGTAGGAGCAGACACATCTCGGCTTGCTCTTGGTCTGTAGATAAAGAAGTCATTATTCCTACATTTATATTGGGAATTGACCAAACCCTACTTTGCAATAGGGATGAATATTTCTTATTCAAATTAAATAGTGAAGAGACAAACTATTAGCTTCTGAGAACCATTATTTGCTGTTATGCCGAACATGGTTGGTGTCAGAGACACCTACGATCCATACATTTTTCCTACTTCCTGGAAAAATCATATAAATCCACCAATGAAGGTTGGGCTTAGGCATGGACCGATGGACCCAAAATGTTAGAAACTAAAGAACAAAAGATACAAAGTGAAAGAGGAGACATTTGCCGCCGGACCTCGTAGAATCAAGCCAAGAGTGGACTTTCTTTACATATATTGTTAGCTTGAAACTTCGAGTTAAGCTACATGCTAGTCCTATGGGGAAGACTCCTACAAATACATTAAGAGGCCTTTAAGAAAATATTCAAAATTTTGCAAAATGAAAATTAAATGTGTATGTCTTATAAATTACCTTGAGAACAAACAACCCATGAAGTTTCCTTTACAATCATCACATTTCATTGGAATAGATTGATCTCAAAGTCTTTTTTTTAATCTAGTCATTGGCTTGAAAATTATTCCCTCTTGAATATTTACCCGGACTTAGTGAGAAAATGATGGCACGCCAGAGAGAAAATTCAGCAAATGAAAATATGGCAAGTGAAGCCAAAAATTCACACACAATTAAGCAGATGAAAATGCATAACCTACCAATTATTGAACATTCCATTATTATGCGATGAAAGTGCAGAACCTACCAATTATGAAATTTCCATTATTAGGCCCAAAGTCATGTTTTGGCGGCTCAAAAAATAGTGTCTTCTGTATACACTTGCCGCCAGATACAATTAATTTGCACCAAAAACCTAAAGTGAGTGCATTTTGACCAACAGAGTTATAGGATATCTGCATTTGACAAATTTATTACTAGTGAAGCTATTCAACTCCAAGCTGAAAAAACAAAACTATTCAAATTCGAATACTTTCCTATGAAAAATGATTGCGAGTATAAACACTCTGATTTTAGCATTATCGCTAATAACAAATAATCCTCTTCACGGAAAAAGTTCAAATTTACTCTTGAACGTAAAGTTATTTGAATATACCTCCGTTAAAAGCTCGTAAGAGAACAATCCTTGTCGTTAACCAAATGTTCCACATTCGCTCTTATTTTGTAACTTCGTAAACGAAATTCACTTAAGCTGACATTATTTATGGGAAACATCATCTCTTGTTGACTCGTGTATACTGTAGGATCCAATACCTACACCTCAAGATCAAAATAAAGAGGAATAAATGGAGAAAGAAATTACAAATCAAAAATCATATTAAATTTTAAATTCGTGACTATTATTTCTAGAGATCAAATAAAAAACCGAGAAACGGACACGCAAAAGAATAGAAGACGTAGGTTACTGGACCACCTAAATATGAACAGCATTAAGACCAAGATTTAAGTGTTCAAATTAAACACCATTATATTTCTATTTCAGAATTATTTCACATGTACAGGTCAACCAGTTTGGGATATATATAGAAAATAATATTTTCAACAGCTGTCCAAGTTCAGCTTTTCTTTCCCTAAGGATCGATCACGGAATTATTTCACGTGTTGTATTCCTTGTCTATGATAGGAAGCTCGTTACCTCAGCGTACAAACCCCAAATAAAAAATGAATTTCCTTGTGGTGTTAGCTTCTCTCTTTCTCTTTGTGTTCCTAATGAGGATAAGCAAAGCAAAAAAGCTCCCTCCAGGTCCAAGGAAACTGCCTATAATAGGAAACCTTCATCAAATTGGAAAATTACCTCATCGTTCACTTCAAAAACTTTCTAATGAATATGGGGATTTCATTTTCTTGCAATTAGGTTCTGTACCGACTGTGGTTGTCTCCTCAGCTGACATTGCCCGAGAGATCTTTAGAACTCACGACCTTGTTTTCTCAGGCCGTCCTGCTTTATATGCTGCCAGAAAACTTTCCTACAATTGCTACAACGTTTCATTTGCACCCTATGGTAAGCTGTAAGATAGAATATTATATTTTCAATATGTTCTCACACGCAGATTTGATTCTTGTTTTTATATCAAGCACGTTGAAATTTCTTTTGTACCAAATGAGACAACGAATCTTATAACTGACCCAATTTTTATATTAAACACTGTTGTTAGAAATGATAGAGTTAAATGTTAAGTATCTATATTTATGTATCTTTTTAGTTATTATGACTGTATGGTGGCAATCGGGCTGTTTGGTTGTATTTGGGCTGGTCAAGATGGCTGATTCATTAAATAAGTCATTGTCCAATCCTGCCCAAAATTCACTTGGGTTAAGATGAGTTGGGTCAAGATGGCTAATAGCCTGTTTGGCCAAGCTTATTTTTGGGCCAAAAGTATTTTTTTGGTAAAAATAGCACGGTATAGCCAGTTTTCGGACTGGTCATTCAAAAATAGTCAGCGTTTACCAAGTCAATGAAAAATAACCACTATTTTGCTGCAACAGAGACCGATCTAACATAATATACTGGAGTTCGGTGCACTTGTGTATGAACTCCAGCATATTATGATGGACCTGTATACTTTGTTGGCTCCAGTATAATATACTGGAAACTGGAACACCAGTGCTCCAAACTCCAGTATATTATGCTGGACCGGTATACTTGCTGGAACTCCAGTATATTATGCTGGAGTTCCAGTGTACTTATGCTGGAACTCCATCATATTATGCTGGAGTTCGAGCATACTTATCCTGGAACTCCAGTATAATATGCTGGAGTTCAAGTATACTTATGCTGGAACTCCAGTATAATATACAGGCGTATTTTCCAGATTTTGAGCAGTGTTTTCACTCAGATTTATCTTTACATAAAAGTGGCTAAATTTCGATTACTTTTGAAACTGGGCAATTTTTGAACGACCATTTTTAAATCTGGATATTTTTGAATTTCTCCCTTTTTTTTTTGGCTAAAAGCACTTTTGGCCAAAATTGAGGTGTTTGGCCAAGCTTTTAGAAGGGAAAAAAATGCTTTTGAGGAGAAGCAGAAACAGTTTTTGAGAAACAGAAAAATGTAGCTTCTCTCCAAAAGCACTTTTTTAGAAGCACTTTTGAGAAAATACACTTAGAAGCAGTTTTCAACAGCTTGGCCAAACACTAATTACTGCTCAAAAGTGCTTTTTAAATTAATTAGCCAAACTGTCACGACCCCAGTTCGCCCTCCGTGAACTGTCGTGATGGCACCTAGTCTCTACGACTAGGTAAGCCTAACAAATGCGGAACATAAAGGAAAGTTGCGAAAGAAATAGTCAAAACCAAAATAACTGAATGGAAACAATAGTTATAATGTCGCTCGACATATACAACACAACATTTTCAAAACCAAGTACACTATCCCAAAATTCGGAAACTCACGGAAACACAAGCCTTTGGAATATCTAACGGTCTAACTCCAGAATATCTAACAACAAAGAAAATACAGAAGGGCAAGGTTTAACAGATGGAATAGAAAAGGGATTTCTCGATCTGCGGACGCGGCAGATGTACCTCGAAGTCTCTAGAGCAGTTGCCTCCCTCAAGGATGGTAGGCCTGAGTAGCGGTACCTGGATCTGCACATGAAAAACATGCACATGAGAAGCATGAGTACACTACAGCGGTACTCAATAAGTGCCAAGCCTAACCTCGGTTGGGTAGTGACGAGGAAGGTCAGGGCCCTACTGAGGTTAAATAAAATATAAAGATCAACAGTATAGGACAGAACAGTAATAATAAGTTTGGCAGTAAAATAACACAGGATGTACAGGACAGCAACAACTATGCGGAACGAGGTAAATATGGAAAGGAAATACAGCTCAACACCAATAATAACAATCGGGGATCTCCCAGGATACGGTCCTGTAGTCCCATATGTACATATCCAGTGGATCTCCCGGGTTCCGTCCCGTAGTCCAACTCATAGTGCGCGGGAATCTACCGAAATCCCGTTCCGTAGTCCCAAATGTAAATACCCAGTACTGGGGGAATCTACCGGGTGCATTCCCGTAGTTCCATATAATTGTGTAGGGGGCTCTACCGGAATCCCACATCCGTAGTCCAAAATAAACAGATAAGGGGGAGCTACCGGAATCCCACATCCGTAGTCCCAAAATAAATACACAGCAACAATAGGAAAATATACAGAAATGGCAAGACTTCGTGTTAAGGCAACAAGTGATTCTAGCCTAGCATGTTGCACAGAATTCAAGTAAGGCAGGTTGAATAAATAAAGCAATTAAGTCACTTAGACATGTTTTCCTAAGCTAACAACAGGTTTAACAGTGCAAGTAATAGAAACAGGAAAGGAAACATACTAGTAATTACTTAAAGAAAACCAGATTTCCAACAATTAGCACAAGTTCCCACTCGTCACCTTACGTATAAGGCATTTCAATTACCAAATGTACCAATCCTAAGGAAAAGGTCCCCACACAAGGTTAGACAAGTCACTTACCTCGAACCGGCTCAAAAATCAATCCGAAACAACGCTCATGCCACGAGTACTCAACTTCAAATGGCCCAAATCTATTCAATTCAATTTCATAATGCAAATAACACTTCAAGTAACTGATTCTACAATTAAATTCTAAGCTAATACTCGAAATTATGTAAAATGACCAAAACTCCCCTCGGGTCCACGTCTCGGAATCGGGTAAAATTTATATTTTCAGAAACCTCATACTCTCATGAGCTCATGCATACCAAAAGTACCAAAATCGGACTCCAAATGGTCCCTCAAATCACCACTTAAAGGTTCCTAATTAGTCAAGCCCTAAACCTCAACTTGCCACTGAGTTTTCCTTAATTTTCATGCTTAGGATAATAACAATCACTATAATAACAGGTAGAGACCAAATACCTTACCCCAATGAACTCCTATGAAAATCTCTCTTGAAAAGTGCTCCTTAAGCTTCTTCCTATTTTGAAAAAGATGAAAAATGGCCAAAATTCGTGAAGGCAAGAATTTATATGTTCAGCCCAGCGATTTCCTCATTTGCGATGCGGTCCCGCTTTTGCGGAAAACAAGTCGCATCTGCGACAGCTCATTTAAATCCCCAATTCCGCACCTGCGACCTTCTCATCGCATCTGCGGTTACTCAGGTGCGTAAATACTTCCGCATCTGCGGCCTCTGCTGCTCCTCCTTATTTTTGCTTCTACGGTTACAACGCTGCTTCTGTGGCTCCGCACCTGCGGAACCCAAACCGCAGGTGCGGTTATGACAGATACTAGCTGAACCTGCAACCTCTTAACTTTAAAAATCCTTTCGTCAACTATCCGAAATCATCCCGGGGCCCCCGGGACCTCAACCAAAGGTACCAACAAGTTACAAACCACTATCCAAACTTGTATCAATCCTTAAAACACCTAAAACAATATCGAAACCTCGAATTAACCAAGGATTTAATCCTAAGAACTCCAAATTTCTCAAAATACGCTTTCGATCAAAAAATCTATCAAACCTCATCCGAATGACCTGTAATTTTGCACACACGCCACATTCAACCCTACGGAGCTACTCCAACTTCTGGAATTCCATTCCGACCCTCGGATCAAAATCTTACTATCGGACCGGAAACTCCAAAAATTAAACCTTCGACATTTCAAGCCTAAATTAGCTACGAACCTCCAAAACACAATCCGAACACGCCCCTAAGCCCGAAACCACCCAGCAAAGCTAACAGAACCATTGGATTTTCATTCTGAGTCCGTCTTCATATTATTCCAACTACGGTCAATTTTCTAACACTTAAGCTCTCATTTAGGGACTAAGTGTCCAAAAACCCTCCGAAACTCAAAACCGAACATCTCAGCAAATCAAATTAGCAGAAATAAAACTTGGGGAAAGTAGTTATTAGGGGATTGGGGTGTAAATTCTGAAGACGACCGGTCGGGTCGTCACATCCTCCTACACTTAAACATTCGTTCGTCCTCGAACAAGCATAAAGACATACCTAAAGTAGTGAAAAGATGAGGGTTCTCGGTCTCCCAGGTCACCTCCTCGACCGGCTGGCCCCACCACTGAACCTTTACCGAAGCGATGAGTTGTAATCCAACCCCCAAATTGACCCAAATCTTTGTAATATTCTCAACTTCTAAACAAACATATATAAAAGTTGTCTTATGTATTAGGCTAAATGCCAATTCATGACTATTAATTTCTTTACTCAACTTATATTTAGAACATTATCTGATAATTCTATCTTATTATGCTATACTCCCTTTGTTCCAATTTATGTGAACATATTTGATTGGGTACGGAATTTAAGAAAAAATAAAGACTTTTAGAATTTGTGGTCCTAAACAAGTCAAAAAAGGGCCCAGAGTATTTGTGTGGTTATAAAAACTTCTCATTAAGGGTAGAATTGTAAATTTAAGCTAAATTGTTACCAAATTTAGAAAATAATTATTCTTTTTGGAACAGACCAAAAAGGAAATAGGTTCACATAAACTGAAATAACGGGAGTAATAAAGATCATAATAATAATAAAAAAATAGTATAATTAGAATTTTCCAGCCACCTCTGACCCACCTCCCACCACCCCAACCCCCACCCCACTCCCGAATTCCCA